TCCGCCCCAGGTGCCGGCGCCTCGGCCCGCGCTCGGCCCGGCGCCTCAGGGCGCGGTACCTCAGCCGGCGCCTCAGGGCCCGGCGCCTCAGCCAACGCTCGGCCCTGCGCCTCAGCCCATTCCCGCTCTTTTGCCTCCTGTTGGGCCCGGCACCTCAGCCTATTGCCAAAATGCCTCGGCCCGCACTGCGCCGGTACCCCAGACAACGCTTTTTTTTCCGGGTATCCCAGCCCCTGTTGCTGTGCCTCAGCCTGTGCTGCTGCTCCTCCCGGGTACCGCACCCCTTGCAGCCGTTACAGGGAGTGGCTCTGGCAGGGCGCTCTCCAGCTGCCCGGCATAGGAGAATGCTGTCTGTTCAAGTTTCTTGTCCTGTGCTTCCCTGTAACCTGTTGCTGTGAAGGAAGCTGGGATGTGGGTTTAGTACTCTGCTTTTCTATGCTGTGGGGAGCTCCCATATAGAAGTAACGTAGTGTATTCTTGCTGAGGGGCAAGCTTTAAGGTAAGACCCTATACAGTTACCCCAAAGTAAGCGGTGGTCTGGTAATCCATACTCTGACTTTATAAGCAATAGTGGCATAGGCCGTCCCTAATTTTGGCTTTGCTACCAGTGTTCATGGGCACCTGTACAAGCATTCATTCCCCTGATGATTTTCCTTTTCTGCGTTTGTTTTGCAGACAATCCTAGGAGAAACTCATGAAGAAGAGGATGAGATCCTTCCACGCAAAGACTATGAGGTGGGAAATTAGCTGATAGCTTGTGAAATTAATGTGAAAAGAACTGCAGACAGGTTTCGATCTGTTTGAGTTTCTAATGGGACAGGTACTCAAAATGCATCACTAGTTAGATTGCATTGGCACCAGCAGAAATACCAAGAGTTGCTGCGCTTGCAAAGGACTGCTCCTCATCATTATACATTTCTGGGTTAAAGCCCTGTGAGTAGAGCTTGAACATCCGCTGCTCAAGTCAGAGTCTTGTTGAGAAAATTCATTTTCAGAATCTGTTGCATTGTTCCACTTTTGAGATTTACAGGCTCTAGTGGTCTTGTTTCCTCATGACTGTAGAAAGCGTCTGTAGCTAGTTGGTCACTGTTGCCTTACTGCTGTCTCTGATGTCATGCTGGCTCACAGCAGATCTTCTCATCTATCGGATCCTGCTTCTTACAGGAGATTTTTGCTTTTTGCATGTCTGTATGGTGGCCCTGAGCTATTTAGAGCAGTTGCTGTCAGCATGGGTGTCACCAGCTCAGCCTGTTACTGCTTGGCTTGGAAAGGTGAAGTCGATGTAGATAGAAGCTAGTGGT